TAGCATGACTAATGTATATAAAATCGGCTTGATGAGATTTTTTAAATATTTTGTAATCCTTTTTATATTTATTTTTTAAGTTACAGTGGATATTATCTCCATTTATATATAACATCTATATCCCTTATTCTTATTGATGAGACAGTTGTTTATTTTAATTTTATCTCCCATTTTATTACTTGAAGTTAGATTTATTTGTACGTGCAAGTAAACAGTTCCAACTTCCAACCCAACTTCAGATTTCACAAAGTTAGTGACTCTTTCATGACTCTTTTTTTTGTGACAAACAACAGACCTCAATAACAGACATTCCATTTTCTTAAATGCATTTGAAATGTAGCTGGTAAGGTAATAATTTAGTATTTGCCAATCAAAACAACGTAATTATTGAACACTTAAAAATTGTAAGCAACGTGTTTCATCGTTCAAGTTTCCAAATTTTTGAAATGTCCTGCTTATAATGCAAGAGTCCTTGGAGTCCTAGAAGACATAAGGTCGTCTTAATAACGATGCCACGATATTTCGAAGTCACATCCATATTCAACTTCACCTGGGACCAAGTGGCGCAAGGCTTTTGGAGACGTTATCCAAATCCAAACAGGTATGTAGGTAGTAACTTTTTTAATTCTCAAACAGCAAGTAAAATTTCAATATTGTAACAAATATTTTTAATAAGCAAACATGTCTTGACTGAGGACACAGTCAGTAGAGAAGTGAAAGAAGGAAGACTTATAAGCAAAAGACTAATATCCAAGACTAATCCCTACCCAAAATGGGCTGAACGATTTATTACAACTAAGAAAGTCTTTATAGTTGAAGAATCAATTGTAGATCCTAAGACCAAGACATTGGTGACCTACACCAGAAATTTGGGTTATGTAAAAGTCATGGTATGCTTTTAAATGTCATGTAATCCATTCATGTTGAGATTTTAACTCTTTTCAGAGTGTTATTGAGAAGGTTGTATATACAGAAAGTAAGGATCATCCAGGTAAAACTGTAGCTGTTAGATCAGCTTGGATTGACTCACAAATAAAGGGATTTAGCAGAGCTATTTGTGCTTTTGGTTATGAAAGGTTCAAAAAAAATTGCAACAAGATGGTAAGCAACAGTTTAATAAATTCTAAATTAATATAAACCGTGCCTTTATGTTGATGCCCTTTTTATAAACTCCCTGTTTACAACTAGATGATCAGTTTTCTGTTATTTAAAAAGTTCTTGTTTACTATGAATCTTTGCTCACTATATTTTTAGAACATTCCAAAAATAAAAATATATCTGTTTAAAAATAAACACTTAGAAGTAAATAAGTTCTTAAAATAACATAATTTTTCTAATGTTTTTGAACTTCCATAGGTTGTAGGATTCAATCATGTCCTTCTCAACCTTTTTCCACCACAAAGTGGAAATGGTTCGCTTCACCAAGAAGCTACAACTCGAAGTAAACTAAAAGATGCAGCTAAAAATGCTTCAGAGCATGTCAAATCTAAAGCTGTCCCCATTTATGCTTCACTCCACCCCAATAAGTCCTAATCCTGAAATGCTACTTGTATTGTACGAATTTTTACGTTTCTTTTTTCCATAATAATAGCAAATCTGCCAGTAAACAATAGTCATTACAGTTATTACTTGTAATCGATAATATAAAGACATTCCTAAGCATTATCAATTCATAAACTTCTGTAATTTCTTTTACATGCCTTTAAGTGGTTAAATAAATTTCTATCGATGCATATGAGCTGGCTCTCATTAAAAAAAAATCAGTTTGTATATAAAATTTTTTGTAATATACACAGAGAAATCATTTCATTCATTCATTTACTGTTTATAAAATGAAAAAAGGCATTAATTAATGGCAATTACAATTAAGCTTCTCAAAGGTAACTAGTAAAAACAAAATATTGTAAGCACTGCCATAATTTTACTCTTAACGTAATAAGTTTGTTTTTATATTGTAACAAGGGACATATGTATTCATTCCTGGGCAGTGATTGGTCTCTTTTGTTCTTGTGTTACCGCATAAACGATAATTCTTCAGTAGTTACCCTCAGTAGACGTGTGTGAACTCCCTAATGTAACAGCATTTGGATGGGGACCGAAAATTGGGGTTTCCAGTAGCTTGTTAATGTACGAACGTGAACCTTTTAATTTCAGACTGAAATTGTGGGGTCAAATGGATTTATTATATTGTTCTAGTTAGTTTTTTGTTTATTAATATATTAATGTGTTGTATATAACGGTAATAATTAATATTTGGCATTTTCGCAAAGAAGATCCGGTTGGCAGAAAAGAATAATACGTGTAATTGTACAGTAGGAGATACTTACTTACCATTTATTATTATTAACTAAAAAAACAGTGACCGAAAATGGCTTTTGTAATAAATAAAGCAAAAGTAAACATAGAAATGTATTTTACCACGCTTGGTATTTAAAAACCCACCATTTGTAAATGCAGTTTACAAATAATCTACCTACACAATTCTACTGTGTATGTCTTGGAATAATAACAGTCATTATTGATTAAATTAGTTCATAGTTAATTAATCAAATAATTACCGCTAGAATATAATGTATATATCGATGCTAATTAATCTGTAGTAGGTGTACTAGTTGTTAAATGTAATGCAAAAATATATATATAATTGCAAATTGTTTAAATAAATTAGGTAAATGTTTTCTAAATTGTTTTATTTGTAGGATTTCATCACCAAACAAAAAAAAGGTAAAAAAAGCCCCTTATAGCAGTGGAAACCGATATTGTCGACGGGGTATCAAACAGACTTAAACAATTTTTTGTTTACTTTTAAACTACATACTTATAGTTTTATGTTAAAATGCTAATGCTTTATCTTGGGGGATTTTAAAAATGCAAATAAGGCATTACTTCAATATTATAGGAAACCATTACGGAAAAAATATAAACCGCACCTAACAACTTTATATACCCAATTTTTCTTGCTAATTAACAAAGGATAAAATTAATTTTTATGAATATTGGGTATTGTATTGGTAAGAATCTGAATTTTTATCTATATAATTGTATATGTACGTAGGAGACGATACAATGGGTTTGTTTCATGGTTTATTTGAGAAAATGCAAATTTTCTTTAGCTTCTCGGGCCCCAGTTAATCCGTAACTATCGTGAAATCTGTTCTTTTGACTGAAAAAAAAAATTAAGACGTATGACGTTTAAAAACGATAATGAAATTATTGAAACTTGTGAGGTGTTCATTAATTTCACAGTTTTGATTTACGTATAGCGCTATTGTATTTGAAATGTGGGTGCGTGTCCAATTAATCTAGTCTTAGAATATTCAGTTCTATTCGTTGACGTTATCTTTAGCATTAAATTGCGAATTATATATTAATCTAATGTATTTTCTATTCTTATTAGCGTTAGGTGATTTTTTTTAAATTTATTTAAAAACATCGTCTATTAAATCAATAACTAATTTTAGGAATAAGAATTGTCGTTCTCCAGCCCTTTGAGGACTGTCCAGAATGTGATCCTAACGATTATCATCCCGTTTGTTCCCGTGGTAGAGCTTATTACAGTCTTTGCAAGTTGAAAAGGGAAATGTGTCTACAAGAATTTGGTAATTATTATTTTTTTTATTTATTATTTTTTCGTAATTTGGTTTGGCACTTTAGATGAAAGTTACATTTATTATGGAGCCTGTAAAGTTTCTCATCCACATTCTAAGGGACATTTTGGAAAATGGTACCCGCTGCTCAGTATGTTAGCGGAAAGTGTGGACAGAGAATGACAGACATAAATTAACATGTAACAAAAGTCTAATAGTAAATATAAAACTTTTATTTGGTCATCAAGAAATAGTGTTTAGTTTTAATCCCATTGTAATTTAATCGGTACCTTATGGTACGCGTTGCTTAACACCCCTCTTAAGTTCCATATATTTTTAAAAGATTCGGGCTGAGTATTGTATGAAGAGTCCACAGCTTTTACCCAAATTTCCACCTGAAACAATCAGTTACAACCGTTTTTGATACAAATAAGTATCCTCAAGCTCAACTTACTTCTTTAGCATTTTTTGAAACAGGTACCTGAACAGTCCATAGAGACCATCCCCAATGCTGTGGGGGTTCTGCAGAATCCTGTTGAATAATATCTGCGACATGCCAGGTATCTCCCTTATCAATTGTCACGTCGACACGTATAATTTTTTTACCACCTCCCGACCAAGCGTAACCTTAACAAAATATTTTAAATTTAATAACACACGCCAAAGCTAAATCATTACCATAAGCTGTTATATGACCGTCTCGAACTGTAACGGTTTGATTTGGGGAAGGTACACAAATAGCTGATGTAACCGGTAGTTCTTGGATTGCAGGTGATTTTGAAAAATCGACGTTATCCCAATCAATGCCGGGGGAAAACCCCTTGTAGTCGTTCTGCTGCCAGTGACTGTCGCTCTCATTGTTTGAGACTATAATTCTTTCTTCAAAACGAAAATTTAAAATATAAAAATAATGAATTTATTAATTATGACCAAAAATGTACTTAGCCACTTAACATTCCGAGCCCCTACCACTCCCGGTACTATTACCCTAACTGGGAAACCGTGGTCCCTGGGGATAACTTCGTTATTCATTTCGTATGCCAATAGAACGTCACCCTTTCGATCTATAGCTTTCCAGAAGGGAATTGAAGCACCGTAAGGCTTTTTGGTCGGGTCTGTATCTAAACCTTCGAACTAATTACAAATAAAAATAATGAAATTGCTTATTAATAAAAAAAGTAACAAGCAATTACTATTAAAAATTATCTTACTTGTACATGTTGAAAATTGGAATTTTCGTCGATCCCCATTGATATTAAGACATCTCTCAGTAACACACCTGACCACTCAGCATTACCTAGTGCTCCTACGCCCCAACTTAGACCTTTTACGGGCTTAACCTGGGTTAAAGTTCCTTTTAGTGCGATATCAAATGTAAAGAAAAAAATTAAGGTAAAATTGAGCAATAAAAAACACTTTAGTTTTTCAAAAGATCAAAGCTCAGTGGTGCTAACTTGTATCAAAAAAAATATAACAAATATGTGACTAATTATTATAAAATACCTCAGTCATTTCACTNATAAGTAGGTAGCCAACCTGCTTTTGTTCTAACATTGCTCTTTTTTTTTTTGAAGATTTGTTTTTTACTGTTTTATCTTTTGTTCGTAGCCTTTCATCGTATGGTGTTTTATTAAAGATATTATTTTTTTTTGTTATTACGTGTCGACAAACGACCTGGGAAAGGTAAACGTTCGTGCCCTAGTATGGTAGTCGTTGGGGTCAACAGTTTAGGTCGAGAAGGGGGGACCCATGTCGTGAGTGAAAGTGTTCCACCAGTCGGATATATATAGCCACGGAACGCCCTAATTATTATGTAATTGGAATGCACTATAATTGCACATACTACATAATAAATTATTTCTTACTATTTCTTTGTTATTTTATTCAACCATCAACACGTTAATTACAGTTTTTTTTTTTGTTTTTCTAATTGCTTTTAAATTACTTTCAATTCTTCGAAGATTAGCAAATTAAAATATTAATCGTTATTCATTTTAAATAAATGTTTTCGTGCCCAATGGGCAAATACAGTCTCTTACAATTCTATCAATTCTGTAGAACAAAATTTTCTTAATAAAAACAACTGATTAATTACTGATTTTCTTTTTAATTATTTTATTTAAATAACAGCAAAACGCCAAAAAATATATAATTTTGTACATATAAATTAATTTAAATTTTCTAAAAAAAACAAATGACAGTCTCTGTACTGATAAGTATCAAAAGTAATTCACAAAAAAAAAAACAAAATTATTTCAGAGTACTTGCTCCCCGGGTACATACCTCCTTCGATGTGTGACACTGTGTATATTAAATATTCCCAGTACAGCTCGTACGTATGTACAGACCGTCACAATGCTCACCTGTTGATCGCACTTTCCACTTTCTTGTCTTTCACATATTTATTTCATTATTTAATTAACTCAAACAAAAACACAGGAATAAACCTTTGCAGATATTTTATTATTTATAATTAACAGACAGTTAAAATAAAAGAAAGTACCCTATGGTACGTATTTCAAATGGAATCGAGTGTCTAATATTATAATCACACTGTATTACAACTTTCAATATCGATTAATTAATTATTTGATTATCTAATGTCAAAGTTTGCATTTTTTCCCTTTACGTTCCATACAGATGTAGGGCTGGACCAAAGGGAACATTCCGTGGCTACTCTTGAACACCGTCACGTCCTCTATAACTTCAACGGAACCCTTTTCTTCCTTCTTTGGACTGTTGGACGTCCCTGCGCCTCCGTCTGCCATAGATACCACGTGAACAGAAATTTTCTTTCGTTGTTTCGCTGCTTTATCCAATAAATACTGAAAATCGCAAAAAAAAGACAATCAAACTTCTAGCAACTATTCATCAAATAATAAATACAAATTAAAAAAAAAGCAATCAAAACACTTGACGATAGTTATGTAACTAAACTTAAAACAAATGATCATAAAACAAAATGTTAAAAAAAGAAAATCAAATGTATGTACCTGATAATAGTTAATAATGTCGTCTTTTGTTAGTTTTCGTAAATGAGCCACTTCAACATTGGCCCTGTCGAAATGATACTGTTGGGAGGTGATTTCCTGCCAGAATATCTGTGACTGAACAGATAAACGTTTCGGTTTCTCTAATCGTTGTAGCGCCAGGGCTTCTTTATGCCTTTCAAACTCTTCATTGCTCATTTCCATTACGTGTTTCTGATAACAAAAGGACACGCACTTTCGTTACTAACAAAATAAATTAACATTAACTTTTCTTACATACCAACATGCTTTCCAAGAATAATTCTATCCTTGTATCTAAGTATTCGGGATGTCTGTCCGACTGTACTATCACCCTGAGTCCCTGGACCCCATTGGATCTCCTAACACCACTGAATACTATGTATCCTAGCTGTTCCTAGAATAAAAAAGCACTGCTAATTATCTTTTCTTTGTTATTCAGTTATTTATTTAACAAACGAATCACAAACAATTGCTTGGGCTTTTGTTTTTCAATTAAATGCTAGTCGTTTTTTTTTAAGTTAACAAACGAATAACGAACAATTAGTTTATCTTCTAAGTAACTGCTAGTCACGTTTTTTTTATTCATTTCATCAGTGACCGTTGACTTACTTGTGTCCTTAAGACGTTAAAACAGGGTACTTGGATAATTTGAGCAAACAATTCCAGGAGGACGTTGTTCTCTGTGTTCTGGAGCCCACACTGGAAGTAAAGTTCAATGCAGGAGAGTTTGTGAACGTTGTTTTGGACCTCGTACAGGTAACTGCATCCATCATCCAGTTTTAATTCCCTGTTGAGCAACAGTTGACGGGGTAACAGAGGAGACATGCAGAAACTCGACGTGAGACTCGTCTCAACAATGTCCACCAGCTCCAGGCCCCTTTTTTTACTCAAGTTGCCGTGTAAAAGACATTCGATGTGCAATTTGGATAACATCTGTGGAATAAAAGCCTCGAGCCTTTCAATTGTTAACTCTAAAACAAGAGAGTTTCGTTTTTATTTGTTTTTATGCATCTTTTTTTTTTTTTCAAACGTACGATCTGTAGATGCCAATAGTTCTTCTTTTGTCCAAGAATGTTCAGTCAGTAAAACTGCCAAATAATAGACTGCGTGCTGATAGGGCTGTTCAGCAGCAAAATTTTTCAACTGGCGAATGTACTAACGTAAAAAAAAAACAGTCGATTAAATTTCATGCAATAAAGACTTAAATTTTGTAATAATTACGTTTTCCTTGAATATTTCGAACCTTTTGGGGTCTATTTTGAAACTGGTGAGCTTCTCCATTATTTTTCTAAGGAGTATGTGCTGCTTGTCACTATAGCCTCCAACTTCTAGCTGAAAACCTCTACGTATTAGTTCAGGGAATAATTACTTCAACTCCCAACACACATTATCCCATAATCATGTATTATAAATCGTCTAATAAATTATTATCTAATTCGGACTTACGATCAAGCCGTATTTTGTATTGGACAATTCCCATTTGAGTCCTGCAATTTCCGCGGCGTACGCGTACTCGTTTAGGGCATCCTTAAACAACTGGACCAGCATGTGGGTCATATTGCAATTCATTGGGTCCAAATACGCCAAAGGACTAGTCAAAAAGAGCATTCAATTAGACCATACGTTTTTTTTTCTCTCTAGATATGGCAAATACCTGACAAAGTCGAACAGTAGATTGGCCTTGGGAAGTAAAAATTTATCGTCCTGTTTGAACCAGACCCTTGTAAGTGCTGTGTCTTGCACTATGGCCGGATGTTCTGTAATCTACAAGAGAATAAAACGGGATAAACGATTAATATGTAACAATTATTAATTTAGTTAGGTCTCACGTCTTTATCCAACGGTTCGATGTTGAAATTGGTGGGGATAAAGTCGTTCTTATCAGGCAACCTGAACTCATTAGACGTGCCGGCGTTGGTCCAGTCGTTTAACACTTCCTGCGGGATTTTTTCCAACTTGTACTGCGTTCCGTACCAGGGTTCAGCATCTGTGGCTTCTTTTTGAAACTTTTTCGCTATAACTCCGATCCTGTAACATTTAATGGTCTCATTTGGTCCCCTTCTCACTCAAATTGATAACGTTACCTGACTTTGTCCGGAGTGAAACTGTTGAGGATGTTGTTTATGATGTCAGGCCTCCACTCGGTCAAATGGTAATGGATACACAGCACATCTTCAATGGGATAGTCCTGGAGATCGTGAACGAATCGATTGATCGATTGAAATAAACAGTAGACAGAATATTTTCACCTGCAAATGATGGACTAACCCTGAAATGTAAGTCCTGGGCGATTCCTTGTCCTTGAATCTAAATATCATGGCCGCTATGTCTTTCTGCTCCTCCTGGATCCATTCCAGTGGTCCCACATCTTTCAGCATATTGATATACTGAAACAATTAAACAAATCGTGCATTATAAGACGTTCCTGACACTTTTTAAGACAATCAGGAACGTCTTTTTGTCATTTACCTGAAAAACAAGCTTGATAATATCATTCGTGTGCTGTAATCCCTCTTCCGTAAGATCGACGGTTATCCCGAAGAATCCCAAGCCCCTGCCGCCTGGCCTACTCCCCGCCACTAAGCTATTCGACCATCCCTTCGTTTTCAGGGCTGACAGCAAACTTCCGGGACCTTCGTGTCCGATTAAATGACTTATGTACCCCTCAGGCTGAAATTTCAAAAAAAAAAAAATGTAAGCAGTTAATTGCAAAGTGCATGACGTCATAACGTTATGTAACGGCCTGGCATAACCTTAAAATAGCTACAGTGCACGCAGGGGCAATGGACGTCCACGATCCCTACGATCACAACGCGCCCCACGTACTGTACATCAAAGAGAGCATTCCAACCCTCGAAACTAGAGACGAGTTCGAGCAACTGTTTCTAGAGGGTTGTCAATGTACTGGGACATGCCTCAAAGATGAATGTGCCTGTATACTGAAGAGCGCAGCATTTTACGAAACGCACAATGCGAAAACTGCAGTTGAAATACAAGAACGTTACACGATCAACTTGAAAGACACAGAAAGACCTGTTTATGAATGCAACGGTTCTTGTAAATGTTATGGGAGTCTCTGTGGACATAGACTGGTACAGTTGGGCCCCCGACATGGTCTGACAGTGAAGGAATGTCCACCTTTGGATGACCAATCGACAAGTAAACGAATAAAATTGGACTCAACTAATGACCAAGTGGGAAGAAAGGGTCTAGGACTGTTTACTTTGGAAGATATTCCTTCTGGAAGATTTGTCTGCGAATATGCAGGCGAAATCATCGACGAAACCGAAGCAAAAAGACGATTTCGCTGTAACACAGAACAAAACAAAATGAATTACATATTTTGCATTTTGGAACATTTTGGAGCCAAGACCATCAAGACATACATCGATCCAACTGTTTTTGGTAATATTGGACGTTATATAAACCACAGCTGCAGTCCAAACTGCCTTCTGGTGCCTGTAAGAGTGAACAGCTCTGTGCCAAAACTTTGTATATTCACCCAAAGAGAAATTAACAAAAATGAAGAGATAACTTATGATTATGGAATGGATAGAGCAACTTCTAGTAATGACCCTGAAGTAAAATTGAAAAGATGTCTTTGTGGGGCAGAAAACTGTAGAAAATTCATTCCATTTTGTAATTATATTTAGCAAATAAAAATTCTTACCGAAGACTTATAATATTCATTCAAGTCCTCAGTTGGAAAGTTGATACTTAGATTCCTTATGTCCTTTATTGGAACCATATATGTACAAGTCCTTAGCTGCTCATCACTGAAAGGATGGTCTGACCATCTTGGTGCCTCTATGTCTTTGTTTTGGATATTTGAAAATAATTCCAAAACTATAGCCTCCAAGTCATCTAAACTTTCTACATAATAATTTAAATACGTTATTGAGTTTGTATAAATGTTAATTTCAAAATAATACCTTTCCCTAAGACTGCTAGGGCCATTATATTTGAAGAATACCACTGCTCATGGAATTTTAGCAGCTCACTCCTAACATTGATTCCTTTTTTCTTGGGTATCACATCCAAGGTCTCCTTATTACCTAGAAATTTAAATTAAATAGCATTTAGCTTGTATACAACTTATCAAAATTACCAGTTCCAAACTTATGATATGGATGATTAGGATTGCATGTGTGTTTTTCCAACTGAGACATTCTCCACATGTCATTAGGCAAATTCTTTTCGTGCTCTGAATTAACAGCTATCAGCTCTCTCTCAGTGGCACTTTCAGTGAAGAGAGGGGCAATAAAGAACTGTGCAAACCTTTGAAACACAAGAAAAAAAGGTAAAAGTCTGATAGTGAACAGAATATTGATGTGCAAACCTGTCTAATGCCTCTGTAAGTTTATCAGGAGCAACATCAAAATAATAAACTGTATGATCAGTATATGTGGATGCATTGCTGCTTCCACTATGCTCACTTAGGAACTTAATGTACTCATTTTCATTTGGGTACTTTTCAGTGCCCAGAAATAGCATGTGTTCACAAAAATGGGCCAAACCAGGCAAGTAATCAGGGTCACTCAGGAAACCTACAAAGAATCAGTAAGAAACGTGCGAAAAAATATTCACTACTTTCTTACCAACGTTTACATTGAGAGCAGCCGCTGATTTATCAGTTGTAGGATCGCTGACAAGTAATACTTTCATATGGTTACTGAGTTCAAGTCCCCTGTAAGATCTCTTATCTTCAGGAGATTTGATAATATTCTGAAACTTCTTCAGGGGAGCCCTGGCCTCAGTTTGTCCAGTCATGTTTTTTATTCTTGAAATCGACCTTTTAGAACTGAGGAGCACAAAAGAACTTATATTAAACTTTGGTGCTACTTGAACATAACCTCAATACCTTAACAGTAACTGATTTGTACTTTTAATACATGTAAATCGTTTAAGAACTAGCTGCGAAATGTAGAAATACATTCAGGTAACACTGATAAACTGTTAACAGCAATTTTCTGCAAAAAATAAAAACCATGTGAGGCAATCAAACCAAGTGTCACTTCTCACAGTACATGCTTACATAAAAATTGGTACTTTGACAACTCAGATAAGTATTAATATTCAATTAAAACCGTCATTCGCAAGTTTCTATAATTACATTTTTCTTTCAAATTAGTCTAATTAAGAAAAAAAATTAATATCTAAAAAGTAAAGCCGCCCGAGCAGGGACTTGAACCCTGGACCCTTGGATTAAAAGTCCAATGCTCTACCGACTGAGCTACCCGGGCGAGATGAGTTCTAAATGATAATCAATTCAACATTACTTCAATTTACAACTATAAGATTCCAAATACAGATTAGATACTGTAAAGTTCTTAGTGCCCCCCCAATTATGCCTAATATCTGCATAAAAAAAGTTGCCCGTTGTGTATTCTGCTGTTTCTGAATTTATCCCGGATAAGAAGACAAAAATTATAAGAAATAACTGTTCATTAATTAAAAACTTTTTGAAAACAACAAATTGTTAATTTTATACATTTCGAACGGTAACATCCAAATTATCTACAATTTATCTCGATTAATGTTGATAAAAAAGGTGATAACAAAATAGAGTAATAAACAGGTCCCACCGAGATTTGAACTCGGATCGCTGGATTCAGAGTCCAGAGTGCTAACCATTACACCATGGGACCAACTAGCCGCCTTAGATGTATATAAAATCGGCTTGATGAGATTTTTTAAATATTTTGTAATCCTTTTTATATTTATTTTTTAAGTTACAGTGGATATTATCTCCATTTATATANCTGTTTTGACTTAATTTTTTCATCTGAAACAAAAGAGAGATATATTAGTAAAACAAGCAAACAAAACAAATAGATAATAAATGTTTAGCTGTAAACAATATAGTAAAGAAATATTACCTAATATGGGGAATGTTGGGTTGAAACGTGGGGACTCATCACATATTTGCAGAAAATCGTCTTTGTGTATGGCGGGAATCCTTTCTGTCGGGAACACTGTTTTGACTTAATTTTTTCATCTGAAACAAAAGAGAGAGATATTAGTAAAACAAGCAAACAAAACAAAATATTCTTGAAATATATGAATCTTAAGAATTAGAGGAATGTTGCGGAAAGCACCCTGAATTTGTACAATTTTTTTTCAGGGCGCAACAATTTTAATAGGTTTCTTCGTGCTTCTTACAACATTAGAAGCAAGAAGAGTCCGCGTGAGACCAACATCAGACGAAGAAGACGCCAACGTGCAATACTATTCGGCCCTAGAACCTGATTCAGAGGACGAATCAGAACAAGAACCTAACCAGAGGGTGGTTCTAGTATCTGCAGACCAATACAACGGATATTATGGTCAACCTACAGCAGCCGCCCCCACCAGGTCCTCACCATCGCGGGACAACTACTATCAACCGTCCAGAGGTGCGGCGTACAAGGCCGCGGCGGCACAAAGGCAGCGAGAATCAGCACCCAAACAACCCCCCGTTCAAACCATTAGAAACTACAACAAGGTAAACGACGATGGGTCGTTTACGTTTGGCTACGAAGCCGCCGATGGTAGTTTCAAGGAAGAAACGAGAGGAACCGATTGCGTTGTTAGGGGTAAATATGGATACGTAGATCCTGACGGCAACAAGAGAGAGTTCACGTACGTTTCTGGTAATCCGTGTGATCCAAACGCCCCCAAAGACGATCAAGACGAAGAAGAGAAAGGAAACGGTAGGGATGAAGATGAAAATGTCCCGCAGAATTACCCCGTCAGACCTGTAAGACCTTACAAGCCAATTCCCGTTGTTCCAACCCCCAAACCAGCTGTTGCACTGTTCCAAAATACCTACAGTTCCGAAGAAGAAGAACAACCCGAACCCGAGCAAGTGTTGCGACCAACAATAACGGTAAATGTTAAATAATGGTTCCCAGGTGGGAAGACTAGACTAGAAATCTTCAAATTTTTTGCAGAGTTATCGCACAAGCCCATCGTATCAAACGCAACCCCAGTACGAGACAAGAGAATCCCCAAAGATATACCAAAGGGTGCAACCAACCACCCCGTCGTCGATCATCTATAAACAGAGCATCACGCCCGTGTCTGCGAGCTCCAGACCCAGGTCAACACTGCCAGCAAAGGTCGAGGCACCAGCTACCACCTACCGACCGCAACTTCTCCAAGTAGGAGTGACTCCGGCCCCACCTGTGCTTTATACCAAACAAATTTCGGTTACGCCAAGACCTCACTTCTTACCCTCTAGCACCCCCTCGTCGCTCATCCTACAACCGAGACCCACCTTCGATCTGGAAGCCGAACTCCGGAAATACCAACAACCCAACAACTTTATCGCGAACGAAAACTTATTACCAAAACCCATCAAACCCCACCAAGCTCCAGCTCCTCTGGCACCTTCAAAACCTGAAACCCTAAGTGGAAACCCTGTTTATTCATCCGAATTGGTCTTTGACCCGTCCATTGGACAGTATAAGACCCAGTTGTACCAAACTCTGCCACAAACCCAGGGTAATTTTAAAGTGAGCCAAAATATTCAGCCCTATGTGGAACAGCCGCGACCGCAGTACATCCAGCAACCATCCGTGTTTAGACCTAGACCTGAAATTCCTCCCCAAACCCTTTACAAACAGCAACAATCGGGATTGCAGTTCCAAAATTCTGCAGAATTATTTGCGCAACAGCAAAGAGTGAGAGCGCAGCAACAACAGGCCCAAGCCCAAGCTCAAGCCCAGGCACAAGCCCAAGCAACATCTCCAAGACAGTATTATTTCGTTCAACCCCAGCAGCGATACAACAATGGCCAAATAGACTCCTTCTTAAGAGGGTCTAACATTCAATTTTAAATTGTACCAATAATAAGGTGAGTCATTTTTAATTAATAAATTTTATGATGAACTGATTTAGAAAAGTGATACAAGTGTAGTTAAAAAAGGACGATAATTAGTGTCAGAAAATGTTAATAAGTGTAGTGATTCTTCGAGTTTTAATTTTTCTGACTGGTTTTCAGCTTTTTTCTCTTAAATTTTGAAATAATTTAGACTTTGTGTACCTAATTTGTTCTTTTTGTTTTCTAATTTTCAACCAAAGTATCAATTTCCTTTCTCGTATAACAGCTATTCAAAAGATTTGTTTGCTTATGTGCCATTTTAGGGCGACTCGTTAAACAATTGCTGCTTGCCTGTGTGTTGTTTTCCAAAAATAACAAAATTGTTGTACATAGAGAAAAACAAATGCGTTTCTTTTGTCGTTACCTTTATATCTATTTACCTGTTGTTACCTAAATATAATTTTGTATACTTTTACTTCTCTATTAAACATTTATTTGTAACAATTAAAAACCATTTCGATTTTAGAAAAGTGTAGTTCAATAATTTCAAATTACACATAGATAAATGTTAGCATTAAGCATGTGTAAGTGATATTACTACAGCAATAGCTGCACAATGGAAATTTTTATAAGTTTTCACCTTGTATATACCACATTATACATATGTAATCGAATACAAATAGAAGTCTATTAGTTACGACTTTTTTAATTTTCGAAAATACAAAACCTATGAATTTATTAATAAAAGTTTAAATAATAAGGCAATATTAGTTGATATTATTGGAATTTAGAGGCAAAAGTTAAAAGAATTTTCTGGTTTGTGACCAAGCGCCATCTTGCAAAAGTAATAAAATGGTAATTAAGGTGCTTTTTCAAAATTGCCAAGAGAAAAAATATGATCAATCGCTAGTATTGATTGTAAATATTACGTTGAAAACAAATTCTGGTCGCCAACCTATGGAAATACCTAACAAAACAGCAGAAAACTTACCTTGAAAATTTCGACGCCATTGCTTCTTCTTGTAACAACTATAAATACGAGGTGGATGAAACAGGAAACGGAAAATCGAAAACCAACAAGCCCCTCCCACTCCCACAATGCAATCGAAATTAAATATCATAAAAAAACCAAAAAAATCCAATTTCGGATTTTCAATTTCGATTGCCTTAATAGATTCAGAAAATAATGATCGAAGTTGTATTTTTAGAAGAAATACACTTTCGAATAACTTACTTTCAGAGATAACCAAAATTTCAACAATGGAAAATCGCCACCAATAAAATCGTCATGATTTTGTTTTTGAACAAGTACCAAGCGAAAAAATATAACAAACAGCGAGTATTAATTGCAAATATCGTGTTGAAAACAAATTCTGGCCGCCAACCTACGGAAATACCTAACAAAACAGCAGAAAACATACCTTCAAATTTTCGACGCCATTGCTTCTTCTTGTAACAACTATAAATACGAGGTGGATGAAGCAGGAAACGGAAAATAGAGAAAATAGACCCCTCCCATACCCATAATGCAACAGTTTCCATAATATAATAGATATTAATAAATATCGATTATTTTACAAAAAAATGAAAAAAATCAAATTTGGAATTTTCAACCTCGACTTCTTTAATAGATTCAGAAAATAATGATTAAAATTGTACTTTTATGAGAATAGCATTCCTATTTAGTAACTTTCATGGCCTAGCCAAATCAAGCCATAATTTTGTTTTTCGAGAAATTGCCAAGCAAAAAATGTGGCAAATCGAGAATATTAATTTTAAATGTTCGATTGAAAACAAATTTTGGTGGCTACCTTTCCAAAATACATTATAAATTTGCAAAAACTCACCTCGAAAAAACAGGAGCCATGACACCTTGGCGACATCGTAACATAGATAGACAATTTCGTTACCAATTTTTAAAACCAAAAAACCAACTCTCCTAGTCAAAAAGAAAATTAAGGTTAAGTGCGTTCAACCACACTTATTTATAAAATCATCTAAAAACACCCCTTTATGAAGGTCCTTGTTGAAATCACACAATTTTACTAATGCCAAAACGATTAAATGCAGTCATACATGATTTGTCTTAGCAATCACAATTAAACTTAACCTAACCCAACCATCAAATGCATAAACGCAATTCATTTGTACATTAATTAGTCAAGAAAACAGTACTCCTATTAATTTTCATCCCTTGGTTAAGCTTCCCGGACGCCATTACCTACCTGTGGATTCATTCCAGAATAAAGTGGTTATCAAACTGTTGTTATATTCCATGCCACAAGTACACCCTATTAATTTGTTTAAGAAAGGATATAACTGATTAAAGCCTTAATTAAATGGACAAAACATATCAAAAGGTCAACTAAACAACACCATCGGAATGCAAAAACTGTCTTTACTAGTCCAATAAGNACCTGCTTTTGTTCTAACATTGCTCTTTTTTTT